GCACGCGCACCGAGCCCACAAGCGGATGACCTCATGGAGCCCGAGGATTACCTCATGGATGCCTTGAACGGGGTCAGCTGCCGGAAGTGCTGGTCCATCGTTTCAGCCGCAAACTCCAAGAGCCTCAACCCTGTGATCCCCAGCGAAGGATCCATCGGTGCCGTGAGTCAGCGATCAAGTGTAAACGTCGCGGGGTGATCGGGTTTTTCCAATGGTCCAAGAAACGGAGATGTTAGGTGATGTGTAGGTTTTTTATTGGGTTGAGCCCCAGGGACCTGGGCTGCGGAGGGTGCTAAATCGAAGTTCAATATGATCAGTTGATATCAGATGTGTGTTTCTCTTGTTTTCTGGAAGGATTTGTGTTTTTAGTTTTAGATCAGTGCCATACTGTATGTGCCATTCGGGTGATTCTTGATCAAGGGTCAAAGGATTGTTCATTGTCAGGCTCAGTGTAGGGCGAGATGATGTTTGACAGGGCTGTAGGGCGGGGAAGAGCGGGAAGGGCGGAGGAAGGATCCTGATTTTCTGGCGATGCGGCGATGTGTTTAATTACCATTCAGTCGATAGAATATTGTGGACTCTATTAACTCTATCAACCAGTCACAGTGGATTGGTTGTACCGTACAACCCCTGCTGTTGCCCATGCACCATCGTTTCTTAGCTAGTGTGGCTGATGATTTTGGATCCAAAAGCTGCTGCTGTGAAGTACCACAACTCCCTTTTGGGATCTTTGAAAGACAACTGACATGCACGCTTCTTAGCAACACCATGTGTCCGTGTCAAGGGAACTGTGAGTGCAATTATCAAAGAAATCCTCGCAAACTCCCCGCACCATTATAGTAGAGGATGTAGTTCAGCCGGTGGACTGAAAACACATGAAACCACTTCACTTGAAACAGATTTTCCCTAGCCTTCAAAGACGAAAAGAAAATCCGTAAAACCATGGCTGCTTGATCATACTTGTATCTTATTATGATGGTTCTTTCCCCGGCATTTTCTTCGGACACCCCACAAACCCACCAGCCGTTAATCGCTCGATGTGCTCGCTCACAGGTGCTCGCTCGATGAAGTCCTGGCACTTCTGAGCGTTTTGTACCGGTCGCTTTTGGGTAGTGAGGAGTCGATTTGTTTTTAAAGAGTTTTGAAGATTTTGCGTCTTGGTTGACGCGAAAGCCGTGGAGTTTTGCGGTGAAAATCATGTTTTTTTACCCAAGATGAGCTAGGGAAGTCAGGCTTGGGCAAGAAGATCTTGCAAAGCAGACTCGCTTGGAGTCTTCATGGTCCTTGATGATTCCAGGATCGAAGAGATGAAGGGGCTGGGTGGCCCTTATGGGAAGCCTTTCGGAGCTCCTTTTTTTTTCGGAGTCTCCGACGAAGAGTCTAAGGGTCTTTGCTTGGAAACTGAACCATTGACTGCTATACGGTTTTGGGTCATTGACAGATATAATGAAATATATGATGTCATTCAAAAGGCTCATTTGAACTCCCTTGGTGTGCGTGGCCCAGATGTGTGGCCCCAGATGCGTGGCCCTACACCTTTTTGTGCTTCTTGACACAACAACTTGGTGTAACGACTAACGACCGCGTGGTGAGGTGCTTGGTGAGGTAAGCCGCCCAGAATTCCAAACATCATCAGGTGAAGAGGGCTGCTGCCTGTTTGACCTGGTTGTGTGTGCATAGGCATAGATGTTAGGATAATATTCTCTGGAGCTCTCGCCCACTCAAGGATTACGTCGAGTCACAGTCGCAAGAGACTCAAATCTCGAGGGCCGAAGCACCTCATTCCGGTCACATTTTTGAAGTGCCGGCAGTCTCATGTGAAACAGGGATGGCGGCTGGTCTGGCTTGCAGCATTGGTTGCAACAAGGCAGTTGATTCGAGTGCGATCGAGTGCATCTTTTCAAAAGTAAGTACCAAAGGTTCCCAAAGAACAGTATAGTATAGTCAGTTGATCTTCATTTGTACCATGCAGTTGTGGCGATATTTGTTCAGAGGCGTTCACAGGTGATCGTTCAAAGACACCAGTTTTGTCACTGACTCATCTCGAAGTTCTACCGGGCCCCCAGTCTATGTTGACTTCAGGCGATACACCAGGAGATTCTGTGAATTATTAATATTCCCAATCAGTTCCTCCTTTACTGTGATTCCTCAATCTACACCACTCGAATTTGGTCAGATGTCGCGCTTGCTGCGTCCACGCCTGTGCGGTCACGACCGCCCCCATGGGCGCCGCGAACAGTGTTTCGGCGAGTGCCGCGGGGAAAGGGCCCCAGCGAGCCGCTCCGTGACGAGTTGGAATGGCCTGAGATCGGAGGGTTTGCTTGCTGCATGTCACCGAATTCATACCAGGAAAGTCCAATGGGTGTCCTGTTTGGAGGTCCAGGAACGAACTGGTAGAATGTTGATGACTTAAACACCTGACCCCACGAAAGGTCCAGCATCTCGAGATGGAGGTTTCTGATGGTTTCTGTATTCAACAGTCAACCTTCTCGGGAAAACCGCCACGTGAGCGATTTTTAAAGGTATGCCCAAGAGGGAGAGACCCGTATCCACCCGCTTTCTTTGTCCTGCAAGAGATGGACACAAGTTGTGTAGTTACAAACCTTAGACATTCCCAGGAAAAGTTGATGACGTTTAACCTTTTTGGGGGGGCCTCGGTGTCCTTTTCAAGCAAGAACAGGTGGGGAAAGTTGGGTGAACTTCTTTTCGGAAACGGCTTGGGAGTCCGTTGGGATATGTTGAGATGTTCTCTTTGCACCTGTTTTGGGGGAGCTGAAGAGTTGTGCAGAGCATCGACCTCGACCTTTGCACCAGGTGTTGTGGTCCTGCGCCATAGATCATGGCTGCCACGGGTCCCTTCAAAAGCAGGAAGCCAGGCTCTATGTCCCAGGTCAATGTGTCCTCATGACTTCGGGCTGGTGAAGTGCTTCAGGGGATCCTCTCGGGGATCCTCTCGGGGATCCTCTCGGTACTCCACAAGGGTCTCGTGGTTTCTCCGAGGGTCTCGACCCCCATGATCCCACGGTCTCGTTGTCCGACTGGAAGAGATGCCCAACTGAGGGTTCCCCCATGGCCCAACTCTAGTGATCCAGTCGAAGATGGGTGTGTAATGATGTGTATACCCTAGGGATCCAAGTACCTCCTCAAAAGGTGATTGGAGACACTGTTATATGTAGGTTTGGAGGGTCCAAGTACCTTGTGAGAAGGTGATACAGTACCCTAGGGATCCAAGTACCTCCTCAAAAGGTACGACTGGACCCTCCTGGCACCCACCCCAGTCCCACCTTCTCAGAGGGTACTTGGATCCCTAGGGGTAGTATATTAAACTCAGCAGACCTCCCAGTTCGACCTGGAAGGTTTGGACAATATACCAGTTTCCTGTAGCCAGGGGTGATCGGAGGGGTTCTCCCTAGCCAAAACCAATTCTGGAAACCTCAAATCTAGCGATGGGTTCGACCCCAGACCCCTCCAACGTATCCAACAGAGGTTGAAGGACCCTATAGACTATCCCATAGGTTCCTACATGGTCACTTAATTGGATCCTCCTTCAGCCTGGAGGGTTCATGGCCCAGCCTGGGCGCCTCACCCTGCCAGTGAAAGACCTGCTCAACTCCAAGTCTGACAGGTCTCAACACTTCCGCAATGACACAGCGAATCGCTCCGAGAAGTTGGGCCGGTGCCGCTTTCAAACGCTGGGGTGGTGGCTTGACAAGAGATGTTCTTTTCTTTAAACGTCAACGTGCAACCTTGGGATGTGTCAATCTAAAAGAAAGGACTCACATACTCATCCCACTGACTCATGTCATTTACAAGGTGAGTTGAATTGAAACCACCAAGCCAGCGTAGGCTGTTTGAAGACTGGTTTCTTCGCTGGGCCCGCGCTCGGATTCTGTGGAATTGGCAGCGCGGAGGAGGAACACGAGCAGAGCCAGAAACCAGTGGAAGGGATACGATATGGTGTGATTCGTTTTTTGTTTCTTTACGTCATTCACGCAGTGTATTTCCAGACAGAGCTAGAAACTTTTTCCATCCTGTCCTGTAGCCCTAGAGCCTTGAAGAAGGATCAAGAAGAAAGGGCCTTGTGAGCGTTTGGCCCTTGAGAACTTGGAAGGAGAGATCAACTGACATTGCAAGGTGGGCATCAAATATCGTGGTACTTTGAGAAGGGGAAATCGAGGTAGCGGTAGCATGATCTCTTTCTGCATGAGCATCATGACCACCATGACCTTTGTTTTTGATAGGGGGGTCTCATTTGCAAACCATTGTGGGCCCTTCTTGGCACAAAGCTCGCAAGTTCTCCTTGACTTCGCGCATGTCCATCCTGTTTCGCGGCTCGCTCACTTGAAAAGTGCTGGCCGGGACCGCAGAAACCTGTTGCGAATCCATTCGCCGGTGACAGGTCCAGCGAACCTTGCCATACTCGATCCAAAAAAATCAAGGGTGACTGGGGTGACCTGCTTTGCTGCTGGATACCAATCCTGACCTGCTGTCCAGAGGGTTTGGTGCATTCTAGAAGATCGGGTTTGCTCATGAACAGTCCCGTTACAGTCTCGTCAGGCCGGGATTGGCACCATGCACAACACCTGGACTTGCACTTGCCATCCTGATCTTACAGAAAACTCTTCATCCGAATCGTATCACTCTGCCTGATCGTACATCATATAAGATCACAAAGCTAGCATATCGAAAGCCTTGGGTGGGCCGAATTGCTTTCATGTTTCCACTAACTAGTCACCCGTTGGGGAACCCCCCGTCGAAACAGGTGAGCAGTGGAAGAGTTTTGCTTAATTTTACTGGAGTTGGTCAAGGTAAAGACCAGGCTTTGACGAGGTTTTGGAACTTGTACCAGGTATTACATACCCCGGAGGCCCGGGGACCTCTGGAGGCTCTTTTCACACCCCAGAGACCTGCGGCCCCCCTGGGGGAGTCGACTCGGATCGGGTCGGGAGACGCGCGCGCGGAAGGCACCGGGTCCAGGGGGGCGCCCCGTCACGACGCAGGACCTCAAGGGGTCGATTCGCGTCTTCTGCCGTGTACGACCCCTGAGCAAGAAGGAGCAGCTGGGGGCGGGGGCAGATGAAGGGGGGGCGGAGGTGGTAGACTAGCAGCTGCAGGGGGTGGAGTTGTGAAGCAAAAACAGGCTGATTGCTGATGGTAGCATGGATGTGCCAAGTGCTTTAGTTTTATAAGTTACTGTCCAGCACGTTCTAAGGTCGATGAAATAGTAATTGTTCTTATGTTGTTGTTGCTTTTATGTCATTTCATTGTCATTTTTTGGTCATTTGTGTGGGTCACTTTGTTGTCATTTTTTCGGCGTATTTTTTTTGTCATGCTTGTTGGTGTTCTTGTTGTTTGAAGAACAATTGAAAAAAAAGAAAAATAAAGGATACATGATAGGATCAGTAAAGGATTTTCAAAGGAACGATAGCAACAGTAAATATATATAAATATAAATAGACAATTATATGAAAAATAATGATATCAGGACACATGATAGGACAAGTAAAGAAGTTTTAGAGGACACATGAAACAAATGATAAACACAATGACAAAATAATGACATACCTAAATGACAAAACAACCAAAAGGACAAAATAAATAATTGATGTCCAGAGTCTACTGGATAAAGAATTTCATAAACTTAGTTTAAGCTCTCTAATGATTAGGAATGGATCTCCACCGTTGTGTAGTAATCAGGATACCGTTTGGTCATCCTTGGGACGACTGACTGCCGTCCTTATCCATGTTTTTCAGTTGCAGTTGACTGACGGCACTCCTCAGACGGGCCCGACCGGACCTACTCCGCCAGGAGACAGGGCAAGGTGACAGCTCCATTTGTGAGGCTCGAGCAGAAACCTGGAGAAGAATTCTGACCATACCCAGACACTCCATGGGACTATGCTCAAAAACCTAGACCCCTGAAACCAACCCAATGTATGCATAATATGGAGTGTTACCGTTTGCTTTTCTTGCAGATCGATATAGATGTAAATCCCGAGACCCTGAGACTGCTTTGACTGCTTCAGGGACAAAACAAACACAGTAGAAGGGATTGTTAACCGCGCCGAGATTGCATAGAGGATCGGAGCGCCAAATCTACTCACTTCGGAACTCAAACATTTGGCACTTCGGGCTCTACATTTGGACACTGCGATCACTTGCAGGGCAGGTCCTAACCGCCGACGTCGAGCGCACATGTTCTTCGCCTCCGGATCCGTCGGTGACATGCCCGCCGGCATGGCAAGGCCGTGGATCAGATGACCGTCAAGGCGAGTGGTCTTCGGGGGAGAGCGGGAGAGCGGTCACTGGAGAGAAGGCTGGAGGGTGACTACACCAATGAACACCAGCTACACAGAGAAGGCCCATAGATGCCGATCTTCGATTGCCCCCACATGGGCCCAGAAGATCATCCACCGTTTGGACTCTGGACCATTTTTCGAAGATGAACCCAGTGGTTTTAGGGATCCATGTGGTCCTTTCCAGGCTGGTAGCATCAGCTACCACTACCGCCCGATGATTGGATAGTGATTGGATGGAACACACAAGGGATTCGGGGTATTTGTGGTGCTCGTATTTGCTTGAACCATGTTGAATCTTCTTGATGCACATGCATGGGTGTGTTAGTACATGTTAGCGTGGGTGCTTTGGGCTCCCACAGCCCAAACCTGGCCTCCGGGCTATAGAGTTGAGAACTTTGGATGCACCTTGTGACTAGTTCATGCTATACACCACCTTCTTCTTGTTCTGGTTCTGCATCGAAAATAGACCACTTCAACCACTTCCTATATAGGATCCACAAACCTTCTCAGAAGATACGACAGGACACTCCAAACCCACAGAGAAATGTCTCCAAGCACCTCTCTCAGGGTATGTGTGTCCATCAGGCAGGGTTTGGATTTGGAGAGGTCACCTCCTCACCAGCAGATCACCCAAGAGTTCGCCCCGCGTCACAAAGGCATCAATGTTCGCACCGTGTTTTTGTGTGATTTTTTTCAGGGTCTCCCTTTCGTGGTGAGGAGGGCACCACTGGTTCCACATAAGAGTCCAAACCCTCTCGATCTGCTTTCGATGCTTGACGAAATGTTGCTTTGTTGCTCGAGAGAGGCAGTCGGACTGAGGGGTTTCCACGAATGGTTCGGTGGTCCACGAGATGTTGGTTGGAGGCTCCTAGTTAGGTTCTCACCAATACTCCCTAGGGCTCCTGTCCCATCCTCAGGTTCGGACCCCAAGCACCTTCTGAGGATGTGGGACTACCGTTCACCGTTGGTCACAGGTCAAGGAGGAGCAGTTCCTCTTCGATGCCGTCTTTACTCCTGGAACCCAGGCGGTGTTTGGGGGTTTGGTGACCGGGTTTTGGCATTGGGATGATGGGTGAATCTAGAGATCCTTATATGTTTGTTGTAGATACAGTTAGATGAACAAATCCATCACCAGAAGATAGCAACACGGGAGATGTTTTTGATATCGATCTCATTGATCTCATCATTCATGATAATTAACCTGCTTCCAAAGAAGATCTCATTAGTTCAGCAAACACACACACACACACATGTAGCACCATGTGACTGACCATGCGTGTTTTGCGCTTCTCAAGCACCACGTTGACTGTTCTATAGGCTCCTTGAAAAGGGGTGGTGGCCGGAGGTGGCCACTGTGAATTGACACGGTATGCCAGACGTCCTGGCCTGACAGGACCACAAGCACATGTCCAACAAATGGTATGACCCCAGAACCTCTAGAGCCCCCTGCGATGGCTCTTTTTTCCTTGCCAATCTCGCGTTCAGGGAATGTCAGAGTGAAAAAGCGGGGAGATGTGAAAGATGAACTGAAAAGCGGGGAGATGTGGAAGATTGGCCGCACACATCACAGGATGAAGTCTTTGAAGATTGTCGCGATTTAGTCCAAAGTGCCGCGGACGGTGCGGAGCCTCGCCCAGCGATCGCCCAGCCTTCGCGGGTCGGCTCGGTCGGTTTCCGGGTGGTTTCAAAGACGCCAGGGCCCCTCGGTTTATGGCGGTGTTAGTCATATAATGGTGGACATATCCTCTATAAAATCACAGGGGTCATGGTGTATGTCCACAGATATTATAATCATATAGCCCCTAACTAGCCCCGAGGTGAGTTCCGAAAAACACCCATCCACCGCCCAAGGACCCGAGGGTCGCTGCAAACGTTTGAACCGGTGATATGATTGATATGTACGTTACTGACTTCACTGACTTCATTGGTGGACCACCCTGCATAATCGAGGTGCCATACGTATCCAATCTTCAAACACTCAGTAGCTCCCAAGTAACTCCCACAACTAGCAAAGCCCAACCAAGCGCGTCCAAGCGCCATCTACAGAGTGGAGAAAGTATGCAGTTGGGCATCAATCTTGTGGAGCTGTATGGTTGGAGAGTTTGCATGCAGGAAGCACCTTCAAATCCCAAACAAGACCTGGTTTCTTCTCGCTCGAAACGAATTCTGAGGTTACAACGTGACGATGTTTGCGTGCCCGCGGGCGTCGTCGTATTCTGTGTGCAGTGGAGGGCGTGGATCCCGGCGTCTTCAAACACCCCGGAAACACCTCTTGGGAAGCCCTGCGCGCCCTGAGGGCTTTGAACACGCGCAGGAGGCGGAGGGCGAAACGTCCGTGGGCAAAGAAGATGTGTCACGTTGCGTCGACTGGAGGGTTTCAGATGTTCCAGCATGCAGGCGCGTCTGGGAGAGAGACGAGTGACGAGGCTCTTTTGTAGGGTACGCAAGGTACGGAGGGAGAACAGGCTTCAGGGGAGCCATGAACTTGCCATATGAAGACCTACCTGTTTCAACCCACTTGATTCAGCTGCCATGTATCTCTATTACCAGCTGAATGACCCGAAAAGTGCCGTGCAATGTAAAGGGATAAAATGGAAACGAGGCAGTTACATGGAGTTGGGTGGTTTTTAGTCCCATCTAGTGAGTAGATCACGGGGACCCCTATCGTCCAATAGGCACCCCTCTCTGACTTCTGGAAATCAAAAGTTACTGTAATAGCACGTGCAGCCCCATCCTGCATCCTGCATCCACCAGGTACGGACAGACAGGAGCCGGCAAGACCTTCACCATGTATGGCACCAAGGGCCGGATCCTGAGCCCTGCCGTTCTCAGACCGCCGACAGGTCTGCTCGGTCTGCTCTTGGTTTTGGTGCCACCGGTCCTTCATTGCTCAGGGTAAGAGGGTTGGGGTCAACAAGGATTCGGAATACAAGCTTGCGAGGAGAAGAGACCTCACTTGCCCAAGCTTCCAGAGACATTCGACATGTGTTACACGCTGCAGGCCTTGTTTTGGCTCTTAGCCACCCTATCTTTAGCCAGTCGCTGTCGCCGATGAAGTTGGGGCGTCTGGCCGTCGCTTCCTGGGTGCCCTTGGCTTTGGGCTGGCTACACGACGAGGACGGGCAAATCCGGTGCTCGGGCGCTTTCCTGCTCGCACGCGAATCCATGCTCGCGCAAAAAAACCGTCCGAGCCCACATCGCTGGGATCAACGATGTGGGTGTCAAAGATCATGTAATATATGTTGGGTCTGTCCTATTACCTGTAACAGTCAGTAAACAATTCTCTCTATGTTTGAACAAGCCTTTACTAACCATCATCATCCACTGGGCCCTGGTAATAGGATAGATAGACCCTGGAGGGTAGGCGTGTCCCTGAAGCAATCCACTATCCACTCACTGGATGGGACTACAAACCAATTCGACATGGAACTCCTGGTGCATATTTAATATGCTTTCATGATATTATGTATACTTGTAGTGTGTGTGGAATCAAAGTGTTTCTCATGTATATGATGTCCGATGAACACATGTGTAGTACCCAAACAAAGAGATGCACGGTCACTATAATTTGTACAGACAAGATATATTAACACACAATAGACACGTTTGAAATAGACACGTTTGAAATCGCACATGGACGAGATTTGACAATTCTTATTAATGACACCAACACATTTGGATGGGCTGGCAATGGTTCACTGCATACCTATTGGACATATTGGTGAGGGAGGAAGACATCCCAGGTTCTTTTTTTTGGGTGGAACCGTTTGTCTCCACATGTGTTCAACCATCCTCGCGACATGGATGCATCTCAAAGATGTATGAAATAGTGAACCCAAGTGAGTGACCACCAGCGACAGTGGGAAGTGGATGAAACTTGGTAGGAGTTCCCAAGTTTTGGACCACGTTCTTTCACAGTTTCGCTTCCCCCCGATTCTTTTTTGCTGCTTGACCATCGCCTGAATGTGGGTGACGCTGGCCACCGGTGGGAGCGTGTTTGTTCTCCCGGGATCGGATCATTGACCAGGAAAAGATACAAAGTCCCATCACCTGATCCACAATACCATGACCAGACCTGCCTTCATTGATATCGAAGCTTTCGCCCCACCGTGGTGTGCCCCACAGCAGCAGGCCTTGCGCCAGGCCACTGAGCGCTCACGCTCCGTCGGTCATGCGCCACGGCGCTTGACGGTGAATCTGGACCTCGCGCCGCAGGAGAGGCGCGGCGAGCTTGGGACCTACAGCGATCGCTTCGAGAGTCCGCGGGACGTTTGGGGCTTCGGGGAAGCCTCATGGATTCTGTGGGCAGAAGAGAAAGAAGTTCATAATTGTTTTAACATGGTTTAACAATGTTTAACATATGGATCAGAAATCATACTAAGAGGCCAAGTCATCAGAAGTTCAAGGTTCCAGGAAAATCATAGCCAGTTGATCAAACCTTGTCATACCTCCAACTTCTTTCCTGCATGTAGGAAACACAGCAGCAATGGCTCAACGCAGACAGACCCTCCTGATGTCAAAAGATCCAACATTGAGCTGATCTGAACTTGCTATCTAGTTCCCTTTTGGTTGAGGTCAAACCTAGAGGCCTAATGTCGCCCATCCCTTGCATTTCTCCCAACTTCAGAACATTGGAGTCAGTGCTGAATGCTGTATATAATAGTGCTTAGTGTTACAACATCTTTGCACGGCTTCCCAACCTTTGGTTCCCTAGATGTTAGAACTTAATGCCTCAGTCTGTTTTTAAAGGGCTTTGATCACAAGGCTGCACGGTGGAACCCGAGGGAAGTGGATTTGCCACAAAATGCAAGACACTTTAGACTTTGGTTTTGGTCTTTGCCAGTGGATCCACACAATTTGTCCAACTTCATGGAAGAACCTGTGATTCTGAAGTAGTTCGTGGGGTGTTTTTCTTTGTCGCTCCAAAGGAACGCAGACCCTGTGAGATCCTTCAAGAAATCGAGAACACAGCAACCGCTCCTCATCAGAGACACTTCAATTGACCTAAACGTGACAGACGACGATCGGCTCTCGACAGACGACGACGAAAAAGGAACACGTCATTCAAAGCACATTCCACGGACGAGAACGACGCTTGCAGGTGGTCCTTTTTGGCGAAGGAAAAGGGCTTTGAGTCCTACCATACCTTGGCGACTGGATATTTAGAGCTTCTCGGATTGCTTGCAATCGAGGGTTTTCTTCTCGATGGCCCTTCCAGGGAGCAGTCCAGAAGGTTTCATTGGTGTGAAGAAGAGTTTTCTCAGGAAGCCCATTAGCAGTTCGGGAGCAACAGCACCACAAAGATAAATCAAAGTGAATACGGTGTCAGATTGTTCCAAAGGGGTGGGTTTAGACCAACAAGTGAGTGGATAATGAGCACCCCAGTGAGCACCCCTTATCCTCCCACCAGCCCCTTTGGAAGGTCCTATATAGATGTCATGTTGCTTGGACACCTTGATTTTCCCTGAAAGAAGTGAATGTTGGCTACAGCACAGGACGTGGCGGATCGTGCGTAGGGACTCCCAAAGGATCAAAGGTCCTATCCATCGTACGTAGAGGAAGAGGAAAAAGCCCTTCATCCTTGACAGTCACAAGTTAGAGGTTGTATTGGGAAGCTACTGCCACACTTTGGACAGTATGAAGGAGAGAGAAGCACCTTGATGGCTATGGCTATCACACTCTTTGCCATCATTGTCCCCGCTAAAGCCTTTGGCAAGTTTTTCAGGAAGGGGTCCTGTTTGGAGCATAGCGCGTGGATGCGCAGACACGGCTGGAACTGCTCCAATGTGATACATGTCAATGTGAGGAATGGTCAACAGTAAGTAGGCATTCTTTCAATGCCCAGCCTACGGGTACATATGATATTGCTATATATAAATAGATATAGACTAGATAATGCTAGATATGTTGAAAGGACTTCAGGAAGGAAGGCCTTTAGGAGACCTAGGTATAAACTATAAATATATAATTATAGAGATTGATCATTTTCATCCTCTAGAAACGGTCTTATTTCCGGTTCCTGTGATCATCCGTAGCCACCTGTTGCACATGATCCGATCCTGTGAATCCGAACGAAAGGAACCGCAACTCAATTGGCGAACCGGTATGTTCAGACTTGGTGACGTTTCTGGACCCTTTTTCAGACTTGGTGACTTCAGCACCACGTGTGGTACCGAATGGCTTTGCTGGCTTTGCTGCTTGCTCCTGTTCTTGGTGCACTGTGTCAGGAAATACATCCCCGGCAAGATCCTTCCGTTGGTGGATCACATCACCAAACACATGGATGCTTGGAATTCGTTGACGCAAGCTGGTCGGTTCGCCGGGGTCCGTGGTGTGACATGAGGCCGGCATGAAGCAAAGTAGATGGTCAAGGGATGTGGGTCCACTCATTCAATGATGTTTGGTGACCAGTGAGATTCAAAATTCAATATATGGGAATTGATCGAAAACCCCGTGTAAGGAGTTTTATATATAACAGCCTTTCAGATGTTGTTAGAACCATCCGCGAAAGATTCGCGATGAGGTTCGCGAAAGTATCTATTTGTTCCGCGAAAGATTTATCGAAGGTCATCGCTTTCATTTTTTTCCTTTCTACCGGACTGACAAAGAATGGAAACGCAAGGCAATCCTCCGGCAGAGCCAGTGGGCGGAAGTGTCCCCATATATGTCACAGACTAACGAACTGAAGCCTCAACATTTCCGTGCCCAGCCCTGGCAGTGCGTAAAGGATTCTCCGATTCCTGTCCCCACTGTCACAGACTAGCAATCTGGGTAGGCACAGCCCTGACAGTGAGGCAACGACCTGCAGCTGCTCTGACAGGCTGTGCAGATGTTTGCAAATGTTACGGCTTCCCGGGGAAAGCGCCAGTGAAGTTTCGCGAAAGTTTCGCGAATGTGCCGCAAAAGTCTAGGTTCCCAGCTTGAGGCGCCCCAACATTCCCCAAGCTGCATCACCCTGTGTTGGTAGCTGACACGAGGATTGGGTTGAGTGGTGCCTGACTCTATTTGGCACAATTGCCGCACAGATGCTGCAAGCGACCCTGAGTAGCTGTGGAAACGTTCAACCATCTACTGGGGTCATGCTGCAAGATGTCTCTCCCTATTTTGTGATACTATGACATGTTCCGGCTCATGTTAGCTAGACATGGTTGTAGGACCATGCTTCGCGAAGAGGCCGCGAAAGATCCGCGAAAGATTTTTTCCGCGATGAACGACCATTCCAGGATGAAAGAATATTGATCAACCACCATATATATATATGCGATATATGTGCTTGGTTTGACCAAAATCCGCAATATGCTTTTGCTTGGCACCTGAGGATAATATTTTCTTGGGGGGGAATTCCCTTAGGAGAGTGCTTACTACCACGACTATGCCGAAGAGATGCAGAGCTTGGCGTCCGCCTTGAACCTCTCCCTGGGCGAAGTTGTGGCTGGGCGAGAAGCGGAGATGAGGCAGTGAAAGGCGTTGAGGCATCATTGTTTTTTGCAATATATAGCCGTTTTGTAACTCTATACATATCACTAACTACTGTCTAACTATATATAATACAATATGTATATATGCATATGTGTTTCCAAACATTTTCTGGGTATATGTGTCTTGCAATATGTGTGTGTATCCCAGACACTCCATGTCTGTCACATACATGGAGTGCTTGGGTACTATATATAGATATATCATTCCCTTTGGTCATGGCCCCATCTTCGACGTTCTGTTTGACGTCGTTTGTTTCGTCCTCAAACCGTTACATTTCAGTAAAACATTGAAGATTTAAATCAGTTGAGTTGGTCGATCCAGATCC